TTAAAAAAATCGCTAAGTGGGGGGCTAGCCTAAAATGTCGTTTTTTTTCATTTTTTATGACATTTTTCACATTACGGTTTTAAAATTCGGGCACAATGTAGCACAAACCTAGCACAATTCAGCACAACTCTCAAAATAAGTTATTTCTAAAAGTGGGGGGCTAACTTCTAATAGGTTTAGCTGTCCTAGGCGAGTGAATAAAACAGCGAAACACTGAAACTGCGAAGTACTCATGTATAGGGATGTTTATTTCGCGAAACGTTTATTCGCGACGTTTATTCGCGACGTTTATTCTCAACAATAACAGTTTCTGAGTGTAATAACAAAACGGCGATATTAGCAAATTAAATTCTACAGATGCAAAGATACAAAATAACAAGATCTTTTTGCGATTAATTTTGTATAAACTTTATATTAGAATTTTACACTGTAAACGTGTAGAATTGTAGGAAAGAAAAAATATAATACTCAAATAATATCATCGAGAATTCCTATTTCTCGTAATGGTGTTTAGAATGTTATTTGTTATCTTAGAGGAGAGATCTAATATACTAAATGTAACGATAAGCGAACACCCGTAATATGCGTAATACGCGTTGCATTTTGCGCAAGCGAGCCTCGCGGGAACAATACAAATTCGTGACGTAGCGTAAAATTAGGCAAAAACGCTTAAGCAACGTGAAAGAGTGGCTCAAAAGAAAGAAAAGGAAAAGTAATAAAGAAATTCAAGATTAAGGAAAAGATGAAAGAAAGAAGAAAGAAAGAAAAAAAAGAAAGATTTGTTCGCGAACGAAACTGCATCCGGATGATGTCTCGAGCATTTTTCCCTCGGAAAAGAAAAGTAATATTTCCGTATGATTTACATGCCGGGCGGCAGGTCGCTCGTTAATAATTCAATTTTCAATCTGGTCTTAATGCTCGCCGGGTTTTCCCCAACTTCGTTTCCCTCGTTTCCACCTTCATCCGCTCTCTTTACGTTTTCGTGCTTTTCCCGTCGCCGTCCCTCCACCCGCGCAGTCCTTCCCCCCCTTCCCCCTCGCTTCCTTTTTCTTTTATTTATTTTTTTGCTCTCCTTTCTTTCGTCGGCACTTATCCCGCCGTGTCCCGACATCTAGATAAGAACGAAATAAGTACGGCCAGAGCGAATAAATTTTTACATCACCATTCTAAGTTCGCCGCGCACCTTCCATGTCCACGCCTCGTAATCAAAAGCGGCGGAATTCGACGACGGAAAAGAAACGGGTATTCTCCTTTTAATGGAAATTTTTTTTCATTGTCATCGAGACGCGAGAGTCACGGCACTCGTGTTAACGGCAAGACGGAGAGATTCGACCTTCAAGGTCGAAATGCGAGTGAATTAAGCGGTCGAGGTTGGGCTACTAATTAAAGCATGGCTCGGCGTCTCGAGTTGCTGCGGGATTGGTTGATTCGATTAACCGTAGGCGAAGTTCCACGTCTCGTATCCAGGGATACACGTTACTGTGGCCTAATATCCAAATGAACTGCCACCGGCGGTGCATTACAAAGTGTTACGCGATCTATAGACGCTCGAACGAGCTGCCGCCCTGCATCCTAAACTGTCGTAAATAACCTCCTGCCTTGTCTAATTTAAGATTTCGGTATTTTAAACAGTCCATGCCGAAGTAAGGAAAAGATTTGCATACAGAAAGTATAGATAAATTGACAAAAGAGAAATCTTTTCAAAAATAAAGACAGTGTTTGTATGTAAATGCTCCTCACTGCTAAATATTTTTACTTTCAAATTTGTTAGAAAAAATAATATGCAATCTAAAAGTTTTTAATAATTATACGTTTTTTAATTTCATATAATAATTTTCTTCAAAACAATGAATTAAAATAATGAAAAATTATAACAAATATAATAAATAATAATAAAGACTACTAATAAAAATAATTTATTATTATGCATAATAAAAAACTAATTATTTCAACATATTCGTAAATAATATTCTTTATTTCTTTAATGTTTTTCAGTTATTTTCTCCTGTAATTGGAATTTTTTTCTTAGTAAGAATTTCATTTTATTTAATTTCAAAGACTTAGAATTTTAATTCTGTTTATTTCTTAGTTCTTTTAATAAATTCATTTTTCTCTTAATTAATCTTTAAATAAACATAAAATTATTTTTCTGAGTAGTATTTACATTAAATTTCTATTTTACTCCAGAATTTTATGAAAAAACTATGCAACGTAAAATATTATATGCATAATTGGTTTTGCATCTATGAAATATAATTTCTTCATTTTATTTTATTTCGTTCAACGTCACGATGTTTAGATAACGCTAAGTAGTGAAAATATTTAGAAATCGCGATAGATTGTATTATTGAAAAGATTGTAAATACATCTTGCAATGGGAACAATGAAACCGTCAGACTTAGGTCGGTATTTGATCGAGCAAACGCATCGAGCAATACACTTGTAAACTTTGCGTATAAAGCTAAACGATAACAGCCTCGAGCAGCACGTCCATTATATGCCTTTAATCCGTACTTATTCCACTTTTCCAGAGTAATGCAATTTCATAATTGAGAGAGCGTATGCAAAAGAAAAGAATGTTCTACGCGCTTATGCGTAATTATTATCGTTTCGCGATTAGATTTATATCGTTAGAAGAATCACCATATTCTCATTGAATTCGTTCCACGTTCTCCAGATCTTTGACTTTCAGGACGGGAAATGTTATGCATCGACGATGCTATCGTTTATTTCCTCATTCGAAATTCTAATAAAATGTAGAGATTGAGGAGAAGGAAAAAGCTTAGAATAAAATATATTTCATAGTAACGTGATCAAAATATGATGGAAAACTTATGTATAAAAATGATAAAAACTTATGTATTAGAAAATTTAATTTCCGAAAGTATTATGCCATGTGATGATGCATTTTGCATTAAAGGGAGATATAAATTCTTAAAATTTCAGATTGAAATTTTACATTTACCCTGAAAAATTAAAATTAGTGAAAATTTAGTGATTAATTTTTAAAATTTAATCAGTAAATTTTTAATACTATAAAAAAATTTTCGAAAAGTTAATCTGTGAAAATTAAGATTTATTTTTAAACAGAAAGATTCTTCTACCGTACACGATTCGAAAATGTTATAATATTCTCAAGATAGCATCTTCGAGGCAAGAAAGCGTTAAATTAGGAAAGTTCCAAAACAGATTTACAACGTTTAAGGAATCTCGTCCTTCTCAGTCCTGACTCTTTAAGTATTCGTCAACGATTAATTAAGGAAACCCGGTCGTTTCTCAAACAAAATTTACATTGTGCAATCTCACTTCTCAAAATCGGCTATTAGAAGCAAAATCTGGATGGAGTTTAGCATCGAATCGATACGAAAAACAGAGATCACCAGGGTCAACACCGATCGCGTGCATTTCGTGGCCTTCGTGAAAGAAAGTACATCTCGTACCTTAGATACGGCTTGTGATGTGTCGATTCGGCCCTCGCGCGCGTCTCAAGGACACATCGTGGCGGATTTTAAAGGCCGACCTACCACAGCTGCGGATGCATACGAGTTGGCCCGTGCAACACGGAAAAAGTTTGTACTCCGGTTGTCCAGTGCGCAAACTCGACCGGTCGTTCGACTCGGTGGTCGGTTTCCCCCCTCGCCGCCCGCTGGCAGTCCCCTCTTCACAACTAACGCGAGCTAACCTTACCGAGGGCAGGGCCGACGTAACAGCGGGCGTTTCCCGAAAAGACGATTTAAAACGGATTAAATTGAAAACGAACGGGAAGTTCTAACTTGATCACTGATTGGAAAGAAATATAAGTAAAGAAGTATAAACAAATTCAAAGAAAATCGCCTGTGGATCGCGCGCAATTTTTTTCTTTAATTTAAATTTATATTTCCGGATGAGTATGTTTAAAGAAAGCGCTTTAATACGTAATATGTAATTGTCGATAATGTAAAATACAAGATGTAAAATCATTTCGGTAAAGTTTCTGGGAAGATTACACGTTCAACTTTTTAATTCACTTTCGCTTTGTAATTAATAAAATAGAAAAACGTCACGCATTGTGTATATATATATACACACATCGCATGGAATATACATCGGTGCGCATCATCATTTCGGAATTCAAATATCTCGGTGAGCGGCGGATCGATGCGCGACGCCGGGGGAGAAGCATCCGCGGCATGCGAGTCAATAATGAGAGAGAAACGTACTTACCGACGAAGCGGCGACGTCGTCGTGGTGTCCGCGGTGGCTGCCTACGATCCTGCGAAGCATCCCTCTCGCTCTCGTCCACCCTCCTCCGGGTGAGCGGCGTCGTTACGGCGTCCCTCTCTCTCGCGCGCACAAGTCTCGCATCACTACCACTGTTCGCAAGATCTTTACTCCTTCCCACTCCCACTCACAGTCACTACTGAATGCCTCGCGCTCCCGTCCCACTATTACTCCTTCTCCCCACTCCTTCTCCGTCGCGCGCGCAGCCTCGCTCTCGCTCCTGCTCCTGCCGCGACGCCAATGGCGGGGGCGCGGGCGAACGTGGTCGAACGACAGTCCTTCCGCGGATTGCGGAGGTCGCGTCGTACAATGTCTTGTGTTCCAACGTCTCTCGTCATTTTCTCTCGATGCGAATCCGCGGCGTGTAATTTTCGCGAGATGCGGTCGCTATGAACTCCGCGTGACACGGCCGTAACGTGTACGCATCGAAGGGAAGGGAAGAGAGAGGGGGAGAAGAGAGAGAGAGAGAGAGAGAGAGAGAGAGAAGAAGAAAGAAAAAGGGAGAAACAAAACAGAGAAAGAGAACGAAGCGGCGCAGGGAACTGGTTGTGCCACGTTCACTCGTCTTTTTCCGTCCCTTCATGTTCGTTCTTCATTGTGTTATTTCCTCGCGGCAAGAGACTCCGGATTCTCTTCCTTTGCGTGTCGCGTGGATGTCTTGCGACACGCACCCGACTTCCTTCTCTGCTGCGCCCCGGTCGTTCGTGTCGCCGGCGACCGCGTCGCTCTCTCCCTCGCGATATTTCCATTCGCAAGTGCGTGGTGCGCACAAGTCGCGTGCGACACGCGTATTAAAGAGACCGTAAGCGAGCGCGCAGGCGAGGCATAAACATCGAACGTAAACACTGAGACGTATACATGAGCTCGAACACAGAAGCACACAAACGACATTCCAACAAGCCGATTCTGAGAATTCAAAACAACAAGCGTACGCCGCTTTCGAATTTCAAGACGCGACACGCATCACCAAAATTGCGACAGTTTTGATTGGTGAACGAGCGGTCATGTGACTAGGTCGAATTTGATTGTTGTTTCAGAGTAGACCCGCGCCGCTCACGTCCGATATCTACGACAAAGCATTACGTGGGTGAGTTCGATATCTATTTGCGATTAAGGAATCGTTCGCACAAAGGAACGCTAATCTCGAAAGAAAGTTTTGTCGGCCGAGAGTAAGATCTCACTTGGATATTTCGATCGGTGAAGCGAAGGCGCGCGTGCGAGTGACGCGTTCAAATTCTCTCGCGGGTGCATTCTCGTCGCGACATCGGGGGACTTTGGATTCTATCAAGTCCAATAAATCATACTCACGTGACGGTCGCCGGGAATTGTGAATTCGCGAATTGTGATCCGCGTAATTCTCGCATCGATACGCATCGGAGGAAGAGGGAAAATCAGCCGGCGGCTGTCCGATTCGTCTCGTTCGTGGTAAGCGCGAGACGAGACGAGCAGCGCGCGCGGGAGAAAAGGCGCGACGGCCAATCGCCGCGCGGGAGGGACGGGTCACGTGACGCGCTTGAATTTCGACGCCGCTCTCCCTTGACTTTGAACGACACGCCATTCCGCGAGGGACTGCCGGGCCGTGATCGCGCGCGCTTGTGTATCTGTGTGTGTACACGTCGTGGCGGCCGTGAAAAGTGAATCTCCCGCGTGTCTCGCGGTCGAGCGTGCCGGGGAGTACGGAGTCTCCTGTTCGATTACGCGATAGTGCTGTGTGCTCCTTTTTGTGGACATGCCGCGGCTGAGATCGCGCCGGACTTCTGCCAGCATCGGTGGTGCGCCCTGAAGACCTCGCGGATACCTACGGCGTCGGGCGATGACGACAGGTAAGTGCCAAGACGAGCATAATCTTGCGATCTTGATATAAAAGAACGTGTGTAAAATGAGAATTTATTACTTTTTGCTAATGATTGATGATATTCTCGAAGTATCCACGTTTTCGCGTGTGTAATTTACGCTATTCCTATCATCGTAATTTTCGTAATGCGAACAGTTGATCATGGCGTTTTAGCTGAAGTTAACTGCAAATGCAAAATGACGCGGTTATATGTTAATGCGCATGGACCGAATTTAATTGTGTATTAATTTCGTAATTATATCTGGTTATTAGATAGTCATTTCTAGTAGTAATATGCAGTTAATTGGCATATTACATATTAATAATAGTATTTGTGGAAATCCTAAGTAATTTGCGTAATTTGTGTTCTGGTGTAAAAGCAATTGGATAATTTGTTTTCAAAAATCAGGAATTTAAAAAGGTTCAATAAGCAAACTGTTAGCTTAAGATCTCGCGAGTTACTTAAATATAAATTAAGAATATATTATATCTATTTTCATAATTTTTATAGTTACAATTAAAAAATGAATTATGAAAAACTTAGATACTATTCAGATTTAAAAAATCCATCGAATAATACAAAATAGTTTAACGATAGTTTAGAATCTAGATGAAAAATTATTTAAATAAATAAATAAAAGTAGTGTGTGTGTGTGTGTGTGTGTGTGTGTGTGTGTGTGTATGTGTGTATCCTAATAGAAATGTAATTAAGAAATAATAATAGAATCTAAATTTTTTTATATATATACTTTAAGTATTCAAGATTATTTATGTAAAGTTTTATTATGATGCAAAGATTAGTTAATCTGTAAATAAAAATTTAATTTTTATTTTTAAAACAACTAATCTTTGTATCTTTATATTTTAACGAAGCTTTACATAAATCATCTTAAATACTTAAAATACTTATATGAAAAAAATTAAGATTTTTATCATTATTTCTTAATTACATTTCTATTTTATATTTAAATAAGTTTTGATTCAGATTTTAAACTTCCACAAATTTTTTTGTATTACTTTTAAATGTGATCCAGAATACTCTATAATTTTTCAATATTTTTTTCATTATAAATAAAAATATGTGTAATATATTTTTAATTAAATAACATGAAGAAATAATATATTTTTTTGAGAAAATGTGCGATGATATTACGTGAGAAAAATATCTACATTTATTTTACGTGTCGTGAATAATTCGTAATTACGTTTAATTGTCTCCTTCAATTTTACATTTTTCCTTGAACAAGACAAGATAATTATAGTTTTTTTATGTCAAGTGTTCAATTTTTAAGTCTGACACTGCGTTTGCGTCAATCGTTTGTCATGTATTCGGGATATATATTTCCATGAATACCATACGTGATTTTAAATACGATTTTCATATGGAATCGATGACTTTTGATAAATTTTTTTCTTATCTTATTGTCAAGATGACGAAACATTGAACAAAGTTGGTATTCATTTCATTTTATGTCGCATTGTTGCTTTTCAATGATATCATCTAATTCATTCTTTTGTCGGCGACAAAAAGGCCTGTCTGGTGCGAAACGCGTGTCGCAACGAAGAAGACAATGCGTGTATACACGGAACACGCGATTTGTCGCGTGAATCGTCGGTTTGTCTCGGAATCAACGTAAGAATTTTGCTCGGTTTTTCCTGCCGGTATCGCATCCTCCCTTTCCTCCCCGTTTGTCACCGGAGTTACTGATTGCACCCTGCGAGAACTTTACTCGCCGTCTCATAAAAAATGTATAAACTGCATCAACAAACTCGTTAAGCTGGATCGCGAACAGTCGTCGCTTTTATGCGAGTCGAATCGTACAAACGGCCGAGAATTACGAGCGATAAGTCGATGACCAAATTTTACGCGCTAATTCCAAGCTCGTATTGTATTAAATAACAATATAGACCGAGATATGTTATTTAATTAATAATAGTAATTGTGTAATGCGAAGCGCGGTCGCGGGGAGATTTGTCCGAATAAATTTCCACTAATCATGCATAATGTTAATAAATGGCACTGTCGTATTGTCACAATCAATTAATTTAAAGGAATATTTATTACGAATTATTACGATATTTAAGAAAATTTCAGACTTGATCGAAAATGGAAAAAAATTTTTAATATCTCTTGGTATTTTCGTTCTCAATATTCTGATCTCGCACGCCCGGCTTTCTCTGCTTTCTCGCTCATTCTCGTTCTTTAAGTCTACGTGAGTTAAGTTACGTTACGAGATTTTATCGATTTATTCGGCAAATTCTTTTTACCGTTTCATGCTGCAGCTAGAAAGTTTCGCCGTTATAGGCCGAACCTTTCGTTTCGGTTAATGGTCGCGTGTCTTCGGCGAAAAGTAGAGCGAACTGGCGTTTTATCACCTGTCCCGTTTCAAGATCCTAAACGTCTCTTCTCTGATTTCATTCGTAAGATGCCGATCATCGAATTGACTTGGTTAAAAAGCACCGTCACACCAGATGAGATAGAAAGAGATAGAGATTGCCCGTTTGACATTTATTATTAACTGCGTACATATTAATTTCATTAACTCTTAGAGAAATTGAGAAAGCGGATATTTTTGCGTGACACACAATCGTATTTTAATCGCGCGAGCGATGGAAAAGTTGAAAGAACGCGAAAGATATAAATTTAAGCTGTTGTTCCTCCCTCGAGCGCGTTTTTCAATTAATGGCAGCGGATAACGCTATTTAGTCACATTCACAATTCCAGCTTAATGTTTCATAACTCGCATTTTCCGACATTTTTTTGAACGTTTCTCTTATCTCTCTGTCCTTCCACGTAAGCATTATTAGGCGTAGAAATACATGCAAAAATATGCGCATTTGGAAAAACATGCCGGCTCCAACAGACGTATCCTCTCACACACGAACGCGACCGCCTGTAATATCGAGCGACCGAAACAGGGGGACGGTTTTAAAAGACTCCGATCTCGTTGTAGTTTTTTTATTCTTTTTCTCGGCACGCTTTCGCTTTGTTAGCACCTCGCGGTTTTATACAGCTCAACCGATTCATACATTCAGCAGGAAAGTCGTGGTTTAACGGACGGTGAGATTTTCATAGATTATCTTCGTAGAGAATCGTTTCCCAGGAAGAATTATTACGCGCATTCCGCGATCGCCGCAAATGTATCTCTGTTTTCAAATCGAAGTCTATGACGCAACGCGTTTTATGAGATAAATCCGCGGTATAATACCAAATAATTTATTACACGAGATATTATTCCTCATTTTGTGGAGTCGCTTGAGATAAAATTATATCCCGAGAATAGGACGTTACAGTTCGAACATTTTTCGTTGACGAATCTGATAAAATAAATAAGATCAATAATTTTTGTATAATAATTAAATCAACTTTTTAAAACTATTTTCATTTAATTATATTATTGGTAAATATACAAATCTCACGTGTACTGTGAAATTATTATTCTAGAATAACGTTTTATTTAATCATGATACATCTAAATAAAACGAATTTATTTTATTTTTTTTTTTTTAATTGAGTCGTGACATTTTCCTTCTTTCAGGATGCGATAAATAAAACATTTTATGTAGAAAATTTCAACAAAACGGCGACATTTCTCGAGATGGAAATAAGCAGCAATTTTTTTTCCTTTAATCGTACATACAGCTACAAGCCTCTCGGCTCGCGTGTCCATTTCTGGCGAGCGAGGCTGTGGAGGCTTCTTCTGGACAAAGTCCGCGAGTCCCGTTTCGGTATTGCCGAGGATTAGCAGCAGCCGGTGGAATTTTACTCGTCCGACCAGTAAAATACCAGGGACAAGCTTCTTGTCCCTTTTACACAGCTCCCGCACCATCTTTCGCGCGTCCGACTCAGCAGTTTAACTTTCGCGACGCGTGCGAAAAGATCGGCGTCGCAAAATATCTCACCGTGAATATTTTCCATTTTATTGGAAGCGCGAGGAATTTTATTCGTAACAACTCGCACATTCGCCGGTGAACGCTGGCTCGCTTCAAAGGCATCGACGAGAAAATAAGAAACAGCCGCGAAATTTATCTAATAGCATCCTTTATCTTTACCTTGTGTCATTTCAGAAGCGGCGGAATTTCCTCTGATCATTAAAAATGAAGGAATTTTGAGAAAAGTTCGAAGTTGTACGCGTGAGTCACGACGTCTTCATTTAATTTCGAGCTGATTCGAGTTCTAATCGGATCTTAATTGCGAAAGTGCTTAACGGTGAAAATGTTTAATTATGAAAAGAGGAGGGAGGAGGGGGGGGAGAGTGGAGTCAGCGACCGAATTGAAAGCAAGCTCCACTTCGCGTTCAACATTCAACAAGCGCGTCGATATGTCTTCCTCTATATTCGATGAATTCCTCGAGCGTCTCCATTCTCCTTATGAAAGTTTCTACGCTGTCGCATATTTCGCTGCATATTCGGACGATGCACCTGCATATTCTGTCGATACGTGTTTCCGGCGCATATCTCGCACGCTGTTACGCAGACGTGTCGGAATCCGGTGTGACATTCGAGTACTATCTGTTTCTTCGCGGCTGAGTTATCTCACCTCGACAGGTGGGATCCTCTGAAAGTACTCGCATCATACAACAACTTGTACAACAGCGCAACATCGAGCTTTTTATCGAGCTTCCGACGATGTCACGCGATGTTACCACGCGATAAGCTACGCTTAATTAGCAAAGATGTATGATCCGCACGAGGCAATTAAATCGACTATCACAAAATGTTAATATATCAGCGATAATTATCACTGATTAATTGGATTACTTATTTACAATCATTTATTGAATATTGGAAAATATTTAAAATACAATAAATTGTAAGATAAATTTAATATATTTGCCAGTCATTTATTAGTGATTAGTAGAAATAATATATATATATAATATAAATAATAAGAGTTCAAAAAATTACGAATTTAGAATACAAGACTTAATACGCGCGAATAAAGAAAAACTCAAAAACCGTTATATTTATTTTCTTTTATGAAAATTC